GGCTTGTGATGCAGGTCATGATGAATCAAACGTCTAGCAAGGGGCAAAGAGGATTTATTTTCCTCTAGCCAAGGTTGTCAGAGGCTATGACCCACTTGATATGGTGAGCTTTGACACTTGAAGAAGGTTCCCCGAGCCAAGATTGTCAGGGGCTATGACCCACTCAATATGGTGAGCTGTGACCCTTGAAGAAGGACTCTCAACAACAGGAAGTTCCTTCAATCAAGATACCAGATTCTAATTTTAACAAATTTTATTGTTTACCCCGCGAGACCCTTGAAAACGTCACATGCATACATACACATCATTGCATAACAGGTACCCTTGTTACAGGTCACTTACCATCTTCGCTGTTTATTTCAGCAATGGCTTCCCAACAAGATAACCAGGATCTTCAGGCTCAAGAGATTCAGTTCAAGGAGATCTTCCTAAGCCTATCCAAGGGGCAAGAAGAGTTAAGGACACTCCTCATGGGGAATCTGGCCAAGCAAAACCCCGAAGATGACAAGGACGAACGGCTGAAACGTCTACAAGATGAGGTAGACACATTGAAAACCCAGATGCTGGGGCAAAGGTCTCTCATCCAAGGTTTAGCTCGGGAGCAAGAAGAGTTGAGGACCATGATCAGTCAACTCCATCAAGACAGATACAACATGAAGCAACCAGTCCAAGTCAGGGACCAAGTCATTAATCAGCCTCCAAGAAGTCAAAGGTTTGGTTTAATGAATGGGCCTCTCCAAGCTGCTACTACTTCACAGGTCCAACAACGACCTCGCCAAGAACAACGGGCTGATCAGAGCAAGCCAGACAAGCCTAAAAGGCAGTTCACCAAGCTCAACGTGTCATCGTCTCAAGCTTTACAACAATTGTTGAGGTTGAATCTGGTGACGTTAAGGGACCCTCCTAAGAATCTCAACACAACCTCCCTAAAGTACAATCCTGAGGAAAGATGTGCATACCACTCTGACAGTCCAGGACATGACACCGACGACTGCTGGGCTCTGAAGAATAAGATCCAAGACCTGATTAATGAAAGAGCTGTGGATTTCACCCAGATGGGCCAGGCTGAATGCTCCTGCCATCCCTACAAGATGCATCAGTCGAAGTAACAAGCTCTGAGACGAAAAGACTTTTTGTTCATTAGGATTTTCAAGTTGTAATTTTCTTTTGTTCAAACATTTACTCATGTTAAACGTTGTTATTTCATTAATGCATCGCATATGTCTGTTTTGAACCAATATATTCGCATTCGCTATATTCAAACTGTTTTCATATTTTTGTGATGATTAAACTCTTGATTGAAAATTCTAAGCCTCTTGAGGGAGGATGACGAAAACGATACCACGATCTTTACAGTATGCTTCTGAACAGACCCCGCTGATGAGGTATAGGCATGGTTTCAAATCCTAAACAGTGGAGTTATAAGGATGATAATCCCTCGTCAACCCCTTTGAGCCAAAGAAGTAGGAGTTTTTTTTCTTTTCAAAAAACTAAACCCTTAATCATAACCTGGGGCAGGGTAGTCTTCTCAGTTGATCCAAGTGCATAACGAATGGCACCAAAGAGGTCCTTACAAAACAAAAGACAATGATGGTTCCGAACAATCGTAAAGACATGCAGTCATTACTTCTCAAAACGAAAACCCATTAAGTCAAAACCTATGAAGGAGACTTACGAAAACTGGGGCATCCCGCTGACTGTAATCACAAAAAGGAACAGTTCAGGCAAAAAGAATAGGGATAATAAAATCAAAAAAAAAGAGGTCCAACAAACCCTCAACAAAAAGAAATGACTGTCTATTCAAAATAAACTGTCAATATCCGAACCATCATTGGAATATCAGGACAAAGACTCAAACAAGGTCCAACGCACGATCAGCTGAGTTTAGGTTTGAAGAACATCACGAAGAACGGGTGGGTACAAATAATTTGAGCCTTTATCCTTTGTTTCTTAAACCGTGAACCAGGCCACATTATAACCCTTAAAAGTCCTAGCTGAAGCATGGGTTAGTTCGAAAGCATACTGTTACGAAAGGTATCCTGACTCCTTAAGGCTTGCTGTAAAATACTGAGTTGACATCATATCTTTACAAAACTCACTTGCTTTTACAAAAAATGCATTTTTTAAAATTTCAAGACAGACATAAGCTTTTGCATTCTTAAAATAACATTGTTTACATATGACTAGTTATTTGAACAGCAGAGAAATTCGCACGACGAATATCCTATGAACAAAAATCTTCTCAACAAAAGAGTCACCTCCAGTGGAAGAAACACTTCCAATCAAGGGGCATGGCATGATCAGTGTCCATCATCTGGGGCAGTCCAGTCAAGATTTGGAGAATCTCTCAAAAGGCCAACCAGCTTGGGGCAAATCTCCGCCTGAGTCACTTGGGGCATTCCAACAACGAATCTTGCCTGATCAAACATCTTCTGGTGGCATGGCAAAACACTTCTAACAAGGGCAACTCCCTACATTATGAGAGCACGAACATAGTCAAAAAATACTATGCATAATCAAAGACCCGCTAGGTTGACACACCTAGGCAAAAATAAGGGCTTCCCGGCGAACCAAAAGGGTTCGGGCAAAAATAAGGGATGAAAATGAAAAAATATGTACACCCGGCAAGTCGAAAACCTGAAGAGGCGGCTTGGGCAAAAAAGGGTATCCCGGTGGACTGAAAACCCGAAAGGGCGGTCCAGGCAAAAATTAGGGATCAAAGCGCACGACTATGTCCTGTCATCTCGTCACTTGCCTACCAGAAGAAGATTTGTCAAACAGCAGTCATCAAACACCTTCACAGGTACTTTCTTCTCCAACAGAAACAGGGGCAATAATGGGTTGTCTAAGCGATCTAATTGCTCTGTCCACCAAGGTACCAAGGTGAGTTCAGCTGAAGAATGTAACCAAGATATCTTAAGTCCCCAGAAAGTGAACCAGCAAGTCAATGCACTCTTCCCAAGCAGAGTTATCCTGACAGCCTTAAGGCAGTTGGGTATCCCCAAGAGATCTCAACATTCCCCAGCACAATATACAGATATACTTAACAAGCATCCCCGGCAGTCTTGATCTAAGATTGTTCCCCGGCGGTATACCAGACATTCAGTGGAGTCAATTCCTCAAAACAGTTCAAGATTTCCCCAGGAGAGTCCAGTCTGAAGATTTCCCCAGGAAAGTTGAATCAATCTCCCCAGTAGGAAGCTTATCCCCAGTAGATTTTGGAAGCTTATCCCCTGCATAGCACGAACGCATCTCCCGGCTTTATTCAGAAGGTTATTTCCCCACCAAGATATAACTGGGTTATCCTTAGCCAATAACCAGGGAAAGATCGTCCCCGACGAAGTCTTCCTATCCCCCAGCGGAGTTCATCATATTCTTCAACAAAACTCAACAATGGTATCCCCAATGGAGTTCTCATTCATCTCAGCGAAGCACCTCTCCTCCCACAGAGTATTGTTCCCCAGCAAGATCGCTAGAGTAGTTATTCCCTGCAGAATAATCTCTTCATCAAGTTTATTCCCCAACGGAGTCATCTTCTCCTACCGGTTCATTCTTGCAATCTTCATCCCCAGCAGAAACGAAGAACTCTCTTCAACCATCAGCCCAGGATTTAACTCCCGGCATTCGTCAAGGATATATTTTCCTAGACGAAAATACATTCAAAAACATCACATACATCATGATACATGCATAAACGAATCATATCTTACAATCTCATTTATGTTGAGAACATCATTGCTTGATCCATGGCATGCATTCATACGACTGACTTTTACATTTCAGGAAAGATCCAGTTAAGTTCTCAGCTATTCCAAGACCTTGTCGGTTCAGTTAAATCGACTCCTAAAGATTTTTCTGATGCCGATCCAGTCAAAGGCCTTCTCTGGTCCAGTTAAATCGATTCTTAAAGATTTTCCTGATGAAGACTCAGTTGAAGATTCCAAGACCTTGCCTGGTTCAGTTAAATCGACTCCTAAAGATTTTTCTGATGCCGATTCAGTCAAAGGCCTTCTCTGGTCCAGTTAAATCGATTCCTAAAGATTTTCCTGATGAAGACTCAGTTGAAGATTCCAAGACCTTGCCTGGTTCAGTTAAATCGACTCCTAAAGATTTTTCTGATGCCGATCCAGTCAAAGGCCTTCTCTGCTCCAGTTAAATCGACTCCTAAAGATTTTCCTGATGAAGACTCGGTTGAAGATTCCAAGACCTTGCCTGGTCCAGTTAAATCGACTCCTAAAGATTTTTCTGATGCCGATCCAGTCAAAGGCCTTCTCTGGTCCAGTTAAATCGATTCCTAAAGATTTTCCTGATGAAGACCCAGTTGAAGATTCCAAAACCTTGCCTGGTTCAGTTAAATCGACTCCTAAAGATTTTTCTGATGCCGATCCAGTCAAAGGCCTTCTCTGGTCCAGTTAAATCGATTCCTAAAGATTTTCCTGATGAAGACCCAATTGAAGATTCCAAGACCTTGCCTGGTTCAGTTAAATCGACTCCTAAAGATTTTTCTGATGCCGATCCAGTCAAAGGCCTTCTCTGGTCCAGTTAAATTGATTCCTAAAGATTTTCCTGATGAAGACCCAGTTGAAGATTCCAAGACCTTGCCTGGTTCAGTTAAATCGACTCCTAAAGATTTTTCTGATGCCGATCCAGTCAAAGGCCTTCTCTGGTCCAGTTAAATCGATTCCTAAAGATTTTTCTGATGCCGCTCCCGTAAAAGTTATTCCAAGATCTCCTCTAGTCCAGCTAAATCGATTCCTAAAGATTTCTCTGAGACGAAAACCTTTTGAAGTTCCAGACTCGATTCCTGTATCTCGCCAGGGCACGTCTGAAAGGTTCTCTCATCGTCCCGTTGAGGTAGTAATCGCCCAAAGGTTCTCTCATCGTCCCGTTGAGGTAGTAATCGCCCAAAGGTTCTCTCATCGTCCCGTTGAGGTAGTAATCGCCCAAAGGTGTTTTAGACTTATAAGATTATTTAAACGCAGCCTTCAAGAAATTCTTAGTTAGCATGTAAAGCACGACGGGTCTTGAGGGTGTTTTACCTCGAAGAAATTTGGAATACTCCAACGGACAGCGTTGCGAATGATGCCTCCGGTAGAGTTATGACGGCATTCGAATTTCTGAAATATCTGTCCGACCTATGTCATGGCGGAAGCAAAGAAGGTAAGAATAAAATGGCATTAAATATGACAAGCATAGTTAAAGTTTAGTAATAGAATACTTGAAAGAAAGGAAGTGTAGCAGCAGCTTGGAATAGAACGAGAACATCAGGAGCAGAAGTATATTGGAGGCGCCAGGTTCCGTCGAGTTTGTTGAAATCAATTGGTTGACCGACGTTGGTTCCTTCTACATTCACCTAACATAACAGTATGAAACACATTGGTGGTTGGAGAAACAAAAAAGAAAGAGAGTGAGAAATTGAAAATACTAACTAGTGCTTGTTCTATAGAAGAACGTTGATGAGGAGTTGTCAAGAGTCCTCTTTGTGTGTCTTGAAGAGAGGTTAAAAGGACATGCTTTTTGTTCTCTAACACTGAATCATATACCTTCAAATTAAAACAAGCAAATAATTAATCAAGTAAAATTGGAAAATGAATGAATGAGAAAAGGAAACCTTGGAAGCAGATGTCATCATCATAGCCACGGAAACCTTGGAAGCAGATGCCATCATCATAGCCACGGAAGCCTTGTAATTGTTGGGTGTGTGATGAATTCTCCTCCTAGTTCTTGGAGTAACATTGCATAGTGGTGATGAATTCAAAGCCAACAATTCCATCCCCATTATCATGATTATCTAACAAAATGAGTCATTAATTGAACATGAATCAATGAGAATGGGAAATTAACCCTTTTTTTCCCCTTTGCTCAACTTCTGGCCGAGCTTCTTCTTCTTCTGCAGTTCACATCATATTATCTTAATTCTATATGGTATTGTGTTACTTCAATTCAACGAATCATGATTCCAACTCGTCAGGATGGCCGAGTGGTCTAAGGCGCCAGACTCAAGTTCTGGTTCTCGTGAGAGAGCGTGGGTTCAAATCCCACTTCTGACATTTTTCCAAGCAGTTGATCTGCTAGATCAATTTAATTTTTCCTCTCACAAGCAGTTGATCTTTTTCCTCTCACAAGCAGTTGATCTGCTAGATCAATTTAATTTTTCCTCTCACAAGCAGTTGATCTGCTAGAGTTGATCTTTTTCCTCTCACAAGCAGTTGATCTGCTAGATCAATTTAATTTTTCCTCTCACAAGCAGTTGATCTGCTAGAGTTGATCTTTTTCCTCTCACAAGCAGTTGATCTGCTAGATCAATTTAATTTTTCCTCTCACAACCATTTCACCAAGCAGTTGATCTGCTAGATCAATTTAATTTTTCCACCAATAATTGCTATTCAGTATTATAAATTTCATCATACATTTGTTTAGTAAACTATTGTGATTAATTTTACTAATTGAGATGTACTGATTGTTCATTTACATATGGTTTTGTATGTACAAACTATTATATAGAAAATGATCTCAACAACACCGTGTGAGTTTGTTGGCTCTACTTCCATAGTTTGGTTGATGAAAAATTTATGCAAAAATGCTGTATAACCACTGCACCTTATAACAGAACCAACACAAGAAAGTTTGAACAAAAGAACCACCCTAGTCACACAATATTAACTCATCTGAATCACGTCTCTATCCTTCTATTATTAATCAACTATTGTTATGAACTCCTCCTTATCCTTTATCATAACAAACTCCTCCTTATTTTTTTGTCCCAGGATATTGCATCAAAGGTGATTGTTGCTGACACACCTGTAGGGAAGTTCAACTTATGGTCATTATTTGAATGGTCATTGTTTGAATTCATAGGCTCTGAGTGTGAGATAGAGAAACAGATGCGGTTTATTTCTTTGAAGTATTTTGTTAATCAAATACACGGCATAAACAAAAAAATATAGACCATTCTTTAAAGAAATTTTTTATGAAAACTAAAATTGAATTTTAAATTATTATAGGAACGAAAAATATATTTAATCCTTTATTTTAAAATAAATCTAATGCATTCTTTTTTTTTACTATTATTATTTTAAATTCATTTGATTGCTTTTATAATAAAAATATATCTATTTAATTATTTTACTATTATTTTGGACAACTTATGAAAATAAGATGAAAATACATTATGAACAATGTTATAAGTTGTTTTCACAATACCTCTTAAATAAATAGTCTCATAAAACTTATGCTAATTGATATGTTAAAATAAATCAATCCAAATAAATTTTTAGTCTCATTGGTTTTTTAGTTTGTTAGTCTATTTAAATATTATTTAAATGGCTTACTTACATATGTCTAAAATAATAGGTTTTTATGTAGGATAACAGACTAACCCGATCTTAGAAAAAGTCAGACACAAACCTAAAAATAAACCTATGTCAGACTACAGACCAAACTTCAATTTTTTAAGCAGGTCAGACTTAGGCTTGGCAAAGCTTAGCTCGGCCCAGCCTATTTCCACCCCTATTTCCACCCCTAAGCCTATGATTGTTGTTGATAACCTTTGATGTTGGGGTGTTGTCCCATGAAATCCCTAAATTGAAATTGTAGATCTACAAGAGATGATGAAAAGTGAATTTTGGTGAAGAAGATTGTTGTAGATTAAGTGATTAGTGAAATTAGATGAAGTCTATAAGTTGTTGTGTGTAAAAATATTGTATTGGGTCAAATTGGTAGTTTGAAAAGTGTGTAAAATGAGAAGAATTCGTGCTGGTGCAAAAACAGGATTTTGTGTAGCAGACTGGCCATACGCGTATGGTACGCATATGGGGAACGTTCCCAGGGGCCATACCCGTATGGTACGCGCCCTATCCCTAAACCAACACGGTCTTCTGCTAGAACGCGTATGATGAGGGGCCATACACGTACGGACTAGCCAGTACGCATATGGAAATTCTTGAAGGGCTTTTGGGGGAAATCCCCTCTGGTTGTACGCGTATGATACACGGATGAAACGTGGCTGTTTTGGCCTTACGCGTTTGATACGCATATGAGATGGGCGGGGAAGAAGTCGTATGCGTATGGTTCGCGTATGGGCAGGCTGATATGTAGAAATTTCCTTTTTCGCGATTTCTTTCCCATTTTCGCGTGCAGTGTAGTTTCTTTTGGTCTGTAATGACTAGTATGACTTAGACGGATGTAGGAAGGTTTGTAATAATGAGAATTGTGTTGAAACGTAGAACTTAGGGGAAATTTTGTATTGTGTTGATGTTGAGTGAGGTGACTGTCGTATCCCAAATTTGGCCTACCTCGACGATTATATTTTCAAGATTAAAATAGAAGAAATATTTTAATTAAGGATGGTTCAGCAATATCTGATAGCCCATTCTTAAATCCAAGCAAACATGGGGGTGTATTTTAATTCAGGAGAGTGGGGCTTTCTAAATCAGAAAGACCCATGTACCCGTAAACCCATTCGCAAAGCATGTTGGTCAATGACCCATGAGATTCGAATATGGAAATTTATTTCAAAAAATATTTATTAAAATTCTTAAAGCCCACTTAAGTTTAAGTTGTTATTAGTAAAATAAAGAGGTTGAAATTAAATATATTAAAGCCCATTTAGGAATTATTGTTGTTGTTGTTAGTAAAGAAATGGGGTGAAAATTGCAATTAAAGGGCCATCGAATTTTATTTGGCCCATTGCTCGCTTGGGATTATTAAATAGTAAGGAGAGAGGTGTAATTACAAACTGTAGGTTCATGGTGTTTTCAGCAACCCATTTCCTGTTTTGGTTTAGGAAAAAAGAGGGCATTATTATTAAAGAAAATTCTCATTAGTATAAATTAATAATATATATATTTCTTTAAGAGAATGTGATATTTTGCTGATAAACTTTTTATAATAATCTTTTATTATTAAAGAGGATATTAGATTAAATATTATTTATTCCATTTATTAAGGATGCTTGTTTAGAGAAAGTTTCTGTTTGGACTGAGATTTTTAAAGAGATTTGGGCCCAATTGCATTAAAAAACATGTTTGCTGTAAAATAAAAGAAATAATGTTACAGGGCCCACTAAACCATTACTGCATCAATTGCAAAAATATTGCACATGTTTTTTTGGCTATTAACAACTATTGTAGATATTAAATCAAATCGCAGTTCAAACTAAAATTGTACAGAATCTCTAAAAACTAAATTTGATCAAATCTTTACCTAAACTAAAATAGAATAATACCAAACCAATTGCAGATCACAAAATCAAATCTTCTTCTAAAATTAAACAAATCAAATCTTCTAAAGTCCAAGCCCAGGATACGTTACAAATATAATAGAAAACAAGAATACATTATCTGAGGATGTTTGCTTACAGAACCAAATTTGAAAATTACACAAAATCAAATCCGACGAATCAATTACATTCAATTGAATCAATTATACAAAACGAATCCCTAATTTATGTTCCTAAATCTATGATAACTTGTAACTACAATTCAAGCTAAACCCTATAAATACAAGCCTAAAATTAACAGAAAAGGGAGGAAAAATACAGAGGTACTAAAAACACAGAAGAGAAAGATACATACAGAAGAACTTGAAGACAGAAGGGGAAGAACCAGTGTCGTCGTTAAAGAAGAGAAGTAAAACTGGGGTTTTATTATCTGAAACCATAATCGCCGTTTCTAGCCGCTTCTGCCGTACACCATCAACTTCAACCTCTCATCACCGGGAACCACCGTTCGCAGGACCTACGAAATTAAAGAAGAAAAAAGAGATTAGTACCAGATCCAAGTCAGAATCGGAATCGCTACGGGAGGTAACTTAGCTTGTTTTTCTTTTTGATTGTTGATTTAGAATTTGGGGAAGGGTTGTTTGCCTTAGTGCCTCCGTGGGGGAGGTGGGAGAGTTAGAGGTTAAGGAAGAGAGAAAGAAGGGTTACGCGAGAGGGATAGGGGACTGGTTTTGGAGTGCTGCAGAAAAATGAAGTGATTTGTAAAAAAATATATATTAAGACAAATTTTTATATTCTGTATATTCCTATGCTAACGCGTGCATCAATGTTATCATACTCCCACACTCTTATCCGTACGATCGTGATTGGACGACCGATAGACAAAGTCTCACGTTAAGCCCCGTACACCCTCACCCACGTAATCAAACCGGCCCTCTCAATTTACTTAATGGGTCGATCCCATTAATTTCTGCACCCCCCTTTTATGATTATTATATTTTAATTCTATTTTGTTATTATTATTATTTCTTTTATATTATATATTATCTATTTTTTATATTCTCATTATATTTAATATTATTTATTTATTTTTATAATTAATTAATATTATTATTAATATTAATATTATTATTATATTATTATTTATTATATTATCATGTAAATAAATTATTTTTCCTAACAAACTCATGCACACATATTTTCAATATTTGCATTAAAATATTTTTAGTCATGCATTAATTAATATTTTTGCAATTAATACGATTAAAAAATACTAAAATTGAAAATTTATGAAAATCATTCTTTAAAGAATTTTTTTATAAAAACTAAAATTGAATTTTAAATTATTATAGGAACGAAAAATATATTTAATCCTTTATTTTAAAATAAATCTAATGCATTCTTTTTTTTTACTATTATTATTTTAAATTCATTTGATTGCTTTTATAATAAAAATATATCTATTTAATTATTTTACTATTATTTTGGAGAACTTATAAAAATACGATGAAAACACATTATGAACAATGTTATAAGTTGTTTTCACAAGAACTCTTAAACAAATA